CACTCAGTGGCGGAGCCAAAAATTTTGGGCAAGTTAAGCCTAAGTGTATAATCTAGAAATAAAAAAATTAGGTATTCGAATATACAACATATAATATACCACCAAACTTCCGAATCACAAATCCACATGGAGGCAAAATGTAATTATTAAGTGAAAAATAAACATAATAGTCACATAAAATGTAATTTTAAAGTGAACTAACATATAATATATCGCTATCTGTTTCATAGACCAAGTAAAGTTGAGACTTGACAAAAAAGATATGTAACCAGCCTTGCATAAAGGCTAATTCGCTATGTTGCCAACAAAAACAAAGCTATCTTAAAAATAGGTAAAGCTTCCATACCAGATGTCACCTGCAAAGGACAAATCATACACTGAAAAGAGGTCTTGCTGAGGTGAGGTGCACGTGATAGGGGTATCTCTTGTTCCACATAAAAGATGCTTCTTGTTTCCCATAGTACAGTAACTAGCAAGAACCCCAACCCAACCAGCCCTGCCCTTGCCGGAGCTTAGTTATATATATACATATATATTCCACGCATCAAACAAGTAAAAGCTTGAGAGGGATTCGGAGACCATTTGCAAGGATGTGTTCTTCGTACTTGACCGTGCAATCATATGCAATGATGTGTCTTCTCGTCAGGTAAGTGTGTGATTTATAGATTAGATCCATCGATCTATTCGTTATGTATAAACTCTGCTATAAACCATTTATTTTGGATTGATTCGATCAGGTAGAAGTAGCCGGCTGGAGATCGAGCGAGCATGGACGACTCGAACATGTTCATCCAGTGGGCAATGGAGACGCTTGAGCAGGAGCAGGACGGCGCCGCCACCGGACACGTCTTCCCGTCGTCAGTCCTGGAGCTCGACAACTCGGCGGCGCCGCAGAACGGCACGCACATGGCGGCCTACCGACACAGAGCCACGGACAGCTGGAGCTCAGGCGACAGTGGCGCCGCGGTGGCCGTGGAGAACGACGGCTGGTCGTCCAACTGCAGTACCAACCACCCGGCCGCGAGCTGGAACTTCACCTCGGTCATACCGCATCCGCCCAGCATTATCGAGGAGGCCACCCCGAGCCCACCCGCAGCTCCCAGCCACGTCGTGCCGGAGATGGCGCAGAGGTCGCCGCAGTCGAGGAAATCCTCAGGCGCCAGTACAGGGATGGTGCCGACCGTGCAGGAACACGTCATGGCGGAGCGGAAGCGCCGGGAGAAGATCAACCGACGCTTCATCGAGCTCTCCACCGTCATCCCCGGCCTCAAGAAGGTCTGTACAGTACACTTCTCACACAAATAATTTTGTGGTAGCATCACTCACTTCAGCAGTTCAGCTCAGCATTGACCAAATCATTTTCCGCTCAGATGGACAAGGCGACCATATTGTCCGACGCGGTGAGGTACGTCAAGGAGCAGCAGGAGAAGCTCAAGGCACTCCAGGACCGTGACGTGAGGAGCATCGACTCCGTCGTGCTAGTGAAGAGGCCGTGCATCTCCAACAGCGATGATGGCTGTCCGTCACCGCCGCCGTCAGCAGCAGCTGGAGGAGGTCCGCCGACGACAAGGATCCCATTGCCGGAGATCGAGGCGAGGATCTCGGAGAGCAATGTGTTGGTGAGGATCCACTGCCTGGACGGCAAAGGGGTCCTTGTCATGTTGCTCGCCGAGGTCGAGGGGCTCCACCTTAGCATCACGCACACCAATGTCGTGTCTTTCCCGGCTTCCACTCTGATCATAAACCTCATGGCGAAGGCAAGTTCATCACTTCAATCTATACATTTTCTTATTTATAGATTAGTACTCCTCAGTATCAAAACAAAAGAGGTTTTTGCAGTCCAAATCTAGTTATAAAAAACGTCTTCATTTTGCTACAGAGTTAGTACTTGTTGCCGTACGAACAATTATTTTGTTTGGGTGACATTTTGTGATATCAAGAAAGACAGTACATCACAGCAGATAGCAGATAACTTGTGGCCCGTACAAAAAATTGTGCAAATTAATACTCCCTCCATCCGGAAATACTTATTGCAGAAATGGGTCAAAATGGATGTATATAGAACTAAAATACGTCTAGATACATCCATTTCTCAGACATGTATTTCTGGATGGAGGGAGTATACATGAACTAAAAGAAATAAAAAATGAGAGGACTACCTTACTTGAGTCATAGCAAATTGCCACAAATGTTTTTTGAACACAAGGCAAACGAAGACACTCACATACACGCACATACGGTCATTCTATGAATGAATAAATTTAATTAGGAAAATGTGAGCACCAACGTCAAGTCTATGACTCCCTGGTGGGCTGGTTCCACCACAAGAAAACTAACTATTTGAGCTACCCTCAATTCGCAATTGCCACAAATGTTATATGTATATTCAGTAGTAGTTACAAAATCACAATCATAAGGAAATATTGATGAATAAACTTGATCAACATTACCAATTTTGATTCACGCCCACATATACTGTTGACCAAACTTTAAACTTCTTAGAAAATACTCTCTCTGTCTCAAAATGTAAGATCATTTTTGACACCAGAAGAAAATACTTATGAGTAAATTTGATCGCTGGTACCAAGTTTGAATCACACAACCTAGATATATACAATAATCGTCAGCCATATTAAACTTAAGCATCGATAGTTGAACTGCATCTTATATTGTTAACAGATAACAGGTGAAAACCAAACAAATATTTACATTCCATTTTACTGACTAGTCTATAATTATTTCCTTTCAGGTAGACGAGGGCTTCACTGTCACAGCGGACGACATTGTATGGAAGCTCGACTCTGCTTTGCGCCGACATCATAGCGGCAAATGATAGTTCTAGCTAGGAGAGGGCCAATAAACATGAAGACGCAAAGGCTTTAAGAAGCGGCAAGCAGGCAGCTCACGTCGAATTAGCATGTTCAATTAGTGTGTGAGTGTGTGTGCATTGTGAGTTATAATAATGACCGGTGAGAATCTCGGCGCATGTTCAATTTAGCATGTTACCGGTTTTTTGGTGTATCTGTACGTGTCACTACAGCATCAGAGCGATGATTCTTTAGCATCAGGCTAGAGAGAGTACTAGAATATTTTAGTTTGTATTACCTTTGTTTTTTTTACTCTGCATGTAGTTGGCAGGACAGGCGGAGCTCGATACAGTACTCCCTCCGGTCCTTTTTAGTCTGCATATTAGAATTCTCTAAAGTTAAATTTTACAAAGTTTAACCGTATTTATATGATAAAATATCAACATCTGTCATGCTAAAGTTATACAATATGAAACTTTAAGTCATGACACGGTATTGACTTCAGATTGTAAATGTTGGCACTTTTTTTCTACAAAGTTGGTCCAATTTTACGAGGTTTGACTTCATTCAAATCTTATATGCGAACTAAAAAGGACCGAAGGGAGTACTAGGAGTATCAGGCACACACGCAAAACGCTGACACTGCACCGGTGCACGCTACTCACGAACAATATTTGTGGAGTGAAGTCTATTTTAAACCTTGATTTCGTAGAGTGAGACATAAATGAACCCTCACGTCTAAATCCCTGAAGTTGATACCCTATACTCCTCGATCCCGATCAAATGAAACCTTGAATCCGTTTGGCGCACCGGGAAAATAATTATCCCGGCCGAGATCACTCGCCACAGTCACTGACCACCCGGGTCCATATGTCTTCACCTTCTATCTTCTAATCTCTCTGTCTTTCTCAACAACCAACGCTCGAAGTTCTACACAGTCTGGAGCTATCTTGATTATTTCCAAGCAAGATGCGCACGCAGCCACGTACATGACGTAGGCCGCCCCCTGCCTTGATCGATTCTTTGCTGGAAACAAACAAGCAACGCATGCACCCGAGATGTAGTGTGCGCGGACAGCCGCAACATACTAGCAAGTCCAGCTCGTCCAAGTCGACGGTGAGGCCAACGCACCCAGCGTACTCGAGGACGACCCAGCTCATTCTTGTTTGTAAGATGGACAAGTCACGTGCTGCTGCTCTGGCCTCTGGGTGTGGGTGAACGCACGCCAGATCGATCGGGTACACTCTCCTAGGCAAGCAGAGCTGGCATGCATGGCACATGCAGGCACGATTCCAGACGCTGGCTAGACGACGGCTTTCCCGGCGATTCACGGACACGTAGTAGTGCACGATTTCCTCATGTGTTTCTGTGGCGCCTAGCACGGACGCCGTGACCACCGCCGACAGCATGGCGCGCGGCGCGCAGACCATGGGCCACTCATTGATTGAAAGCGGTCGTGCAGCTCAGGCTCAGCTGACTCGGCCACAGTTGGCTAGCCCAGGTAAATTTTGTAGTGTGGCCTAGCAAAGCAACAGCGTAGTTTGGGCACCGGCACGACCGCGACCACGAGTATCCACTTTTGTGTGCGTGTCCGTCCGTACTCCGTAGGTGGCCAGCCCCAGCACTACAAGTGGACGCATGCATGGCTGAGCTGACACGGACGGCAATGGCGGACCAGTGACGGCCGGGGCCGGGGCCAGTCACGTGCATGGATCCAGCGGCTAAGCGTCCTAGGACAGCGGCCACTAATCAGTGGGCCATGCATGTGGAGAGATTGAGCTGACTTGGGCCCGCACATGCATGTCGGAGACGGAGCAGCTTTCCTGTTCCTGGCATCGTCGCGCGTTTGATCGGACACATGGACTTGCGTCGGCATCGATCGCAGCAAATAACAGTGCTCCTTGTGTTCGTGGGAGAAAAACTGCATGCCCGTCTTCCTGCCATGCTAGCAACAGCAAGCTCACGTGCTACGTGCCATAGGAACGCAGCGGGTGCACCATGCATGGGACGGGCTTGCTGCTTCCGGCAGGCCTGTCGTGGCTTTGGCTAGTAAAATGCTGATGCGACGGGCTGATTGGTGGCCAAAGGGAGCGTGCCACATCACGTTTTTTCTGTCAGGCCACAAGCAAGCACGCACGCACACGCACAGTGCGTAATAGTTGCAATTCGTAGACGTGTCAGACCAAACAATCACCCACCAACATGAGTGAGGCGTCGCAGAGGCCGGGCTCCATGGAGCCCGTTTTATCAAAAAAAAATCAGAATATACTTAAAAGTTTCAAAAAATATCAAATCTTTTTATACAAATACATATGACTGTTCGTCAAGTTACAAAAAAGTTTCATCAGGTAATTTGATTATTTGCATGCTAAACAAAAAAGATAAATATCTGGCCCAAAAACGACAAAGATAAAGCCCATTTTAATCTGTGTATTTATCTTTTTTGTATACATTACATGTTAACATATATGTTCATGAAATTTTATACATGTATACTACAAATAAACATCTATGTATATATTTTTTTCAGATTTTTTCAATGTGTGAAAATAGTATTTTCGCTGAAAAGAAATAACGAGCTATGTAGAGCTCGGTCTCTGCTATGCTTTTTCGCCACCAACAGTTGGTGATTAGGGACGCGAACACCCTGGCACACACACAGACCAACGACTTTTCTACCAACAACTCACGTGCTATTCCGGATCTGGATGGACGCCTAGTAAGCAGCGAGAAAGGATATGAGTGCGTACGACTACACCATCTAGGCATCTACCATCAGCGGTCCATCGCCCACAGTTTTTGTTACTCACAGTGAGAATAAAGTAGATAGTAACATGATATATAGCGAAAATTCTATATGGGTCATACTACCATATGCTCACATTGTCTGAGCCGTTGGCCCTCCTTGGGATGTGCACTTAAGGAGGTATAACAAGGCGTATTTATGTGTGGGTGGAGTTTATTGTACAGTGCCTCTGCCGTGGAGCAGGCTTCATTTATTGATCGGACCACGATCGTCATCTACGGTCTTGGTGTTTGTCACTTTTGATGGACCGGGTGGCCACGCACTTGGTCTGGTTTAGCACGCAGCAAACATGTCACCAGCTTTGTAAAATCTTCAAACCTTCAGATAGTCTACATGGCTACTACAACAGCACAGTGCTAACAGATTGACACCTCAGTTCTCTTAGAACATTTCATGTATAATGATGCAGCCAGCAATAATAGGGGATTAGTCGGGTGGGTGAGGTAATCGGGACGAAAGAGTGTTCCCGCAGAGAGGAGAGCATCTCCCTAACATGTTGCCATATGCGGTCGAGCTAGCTAGTTCCAGAATCTACATGGAACAATGCTCAATGTTTTCATACCATAAATCTAACCAAGTGCGAACAATGTGTTAACACTATCTACCACTAACATAATCCACCACACCAGTGATCTGCCCCCGTCCCGACCCCCGCGTCGCCTCTCTCGGGCGACACGAGGGAACCCCACCGGCGCCGGCTTCTTCCTACCCTCCTCTGCCCCAGCACCTCGCCGCCGCCTGAGGAGCCCGCCGGCTAAGCCCGGTCAGGCTCCAGGGAGGGTGGCAGTGGGGCTTCTCTCAGGGTGGCCCATGGACGGATCTGGCGTGCGAGCTCGGCGGGATCCGGCGGGTGAGTGGGCGCGGCTCCGGCGATGGCCGGCGCGGATCCAATGGTTCGGGAGTAGGGGCGGCGCGGCGGTGTCCTCGCGGCGGCCAGATCGGCGTGGACCGCGGGCGGTTCCAGCGCGGGCGGCCGCGATCTGGTGGATCGAGGGCTCGGCGAGGCTGGGCCCGGTGGTGGCGGCGTGGGCGGCTCGGCGGCTCGGTGGTCGGTGCATTGTGCGTGCCTCGACGCGCCTTGTCCCCCGCTCGGGTTGGTGGTGGTCCAGGTTGCGGGTCCCACGGCGGCGGCTGCTCCTTTGGCGGCGCAACGGCTGGGCGGCGCGGCGAGTAGGCGCGGCTACGGCGGCGGCCTCGCGACGTCCAGCGGTGGGTCGAGGCTAGGCGGCTGCGACCACTCTATCTTGCTCGTGCGGCTCCGGCTTCCGGCGATTCAGATCTGTTGCGGCTCGTCTGTAGCCTTCCGGCGGCGGCTTTGGCTGTCCTCCGGCCCACCAAGGCAAGGCTTGGGGCGAGGTCGCAGTCTGGTCAGGCCCTCCCTTGCCTCCAGCTTTGCGATGTGGGCTCCATGTCGTCGGGCCTGGCCGGGCTCCTGCTGACGGTGATGACGATGACGTGGTGGCACTTGGGCTCCGGGGCGGCGGCCCCGGATATGGTGGTGGAGGCTTCGGCCAGGAGGTGGTGCGAGTCTGGTCGTGGTGGATCGTGGGATCCCGTGGCCAGAATGAGGTCGGCCTCGGCAGGGGTGATGGTCAGTGGGCGGTGGTCGGTGGTGGCAGGTGGTTGGCACATCTCCGGGAGAAATTCTTGCTCCAGTCTTCACCGGAGCCGGCGACGGCGGCGCCCGCGGGTGCCGTGATCTTTTTTGAAAGCGTCGTCGTGGAGTTGCTCCTTCTCCCCATGGCTTGGGCTCCGGAGGGAAACCTCAGATCCGTTGGATCGGGCGATGGAGGCGTCTTCGCGTCTTTCTCCTCCTTGGGAGCATCGTCTCGGAGCCGGCTACGACTAAGAGACTGGAGGATGATGGCATCTTCACCGTCGATGGCGGCATCTTCGCCGCGTGGTTTGCTGAGGCGGGGCGTTGGTTTCTGTTTGGCAACGATGATGGCGTCGAGAGGAGCTTGGGTCGCGGCGTGGTCTTTGGTAGTCGGTTCTTCCCGGCGTGTCCGAGGTGCTCTTTGGGCACGGTCAGCGCAAGTCCTGCATATTTCCCCTATGTTGCTCATCGTCAAAGTCGGAGCTGTCGGTTGCTTGCGCGTGTGGCATGTGCCGTCGTGGTTTCTGCTCCATGTCGGTGGCCAGGTTGGCCGGTGGTGCCCATGTCATGTGGGCTGCGTTGTATCGGTTTTAGCCCGGTTTTCCGTCAATTAACCGGGCAAT